CAGTCTTCAGAGTCGTCCGTGTCAGAGGAAAACTGTTCTTCACTCTCAGACTCTGAGGGTTCCTCTAAAGCTGCTGCTTGGTCACTGTCCCCTCTCTCCTCTTCGTCCTCTTCATCCTCTCTGCTCTCTTCTTTCACACACTCCTCTTTCTCACTCCTTACAGATACAATGACTGGGAATGCTTCCACCGGCTCCTGCTGGACTTTCTGTTCCACCAGTTCTTCTTTAATCTTGATCAGTCTGGAGTCGTCCTCATCTGGGCTCTGGTCATCTGCAATAACAGAAACATTTTACATTATACAGGCACTTAACAGAGGGACTAAACTCCTAAACTGTCCACAGCCGCAGTCCAAACGAACCAAGAGCTGCTACATGGTGAGGTGGGTTAAAGAGGGGGGGAAAGTGAGAGAAGGGTCTGTGTCGAGGAATAGCTTCACTAAAGCCTTGTTTCCATTGATTCACTTTGGAACAGATCAGTACTGTTGCGCTGTGTTGTTATTAAAAGTCGTATATTATGCATAATTGACTCCTGAACTTTAGGCAATGTTATAATGCTGTTACCTCCCTGAAAATAATCATGTGAATGTGAACAAAACACAACTCCAGGTACGATTGTGATGAGGAAACAACATTACAACATAGATCAGAAAATAGCATAATATTGGCCCTTTAATAATAATGCTGTCGATTTTGAAGTGGGGCTTGTGCCAGGGTCCAGTGCATCGAGTCGCATATATAAAAAGGGATCCACCACCTGCACTCTGCTGCTGCTCCTCCACTCAACTCACCTGGTCAGACCATTGGCCAATCGCCACAACGCACTTTGACATACTTATTCGCACTTTGGACATACTTATTCTAACTTATGTAATAAATGCTTAATAAACCTATGTAATAAATACTCTAGCAGAGAGATTAAAACCTTCAAGTTGTGCCTGGCTCCTTTCTCTGTGGTGGTCACACAAGCCGGACCGTAACAGGGTCAGTATTTACCTTTATTCGTTTTGGCTCTTCCTTTCCTCAAACTGCCCTGACACAGATCTACTGACTCTCCCTGACCAATCCTTCTGTTGAACTGCACTGAGACCTTTGACTGAGACACAAAGGAGAGATAAGCAGTAGAAATGTTCTCTCGGGATCAATAGTCTCTCTGACACATGAGCCATGACCCACAGTATTAAATAAAGAGGTGTTAAAATGTGGCGTAAAGAAAAACAGACATAAATGTAGAAAAAAACTGACAAAAAACAGAAAGTAGCTGGTTTACCCTTGCTTTAGCTTTAGTCATGTCTCACAGCACCACAAACTTGGAACATTTAAACATCCTTTTGTGAATCTCTGAAATCGGCCTTATGTTGGAAAACTATAATTGAGGTGTGACTTAGATTTTTTTTAATGTATGGCCGGTGTTGGTGTCTCACAGACCAGAGCCCTGGAGCAGAGACATAGACCTAGACTAACCCAAAGCGTGCCATAGCGCTCCCAGTCCAAACGAGCCACAACAGTCTAAGCATTGCAAAAAGCTGTGCTTTGCTGATTCTAAAACTCTGCCCTCACCTCTGCAGTCTGGGTCCTCTTTGAGCTCCTCGGCCACACTGTAAAAACACATAAGAGTTACACATGAACAGCACAAATATTTTAAAAGATTGATGAGAAGTATCTTCAGAAAAACAACTCACTGTAAGATTGATAGGAGCTATGTACAGAATCTCACAAACGCAGCTATAAAGAGGGATAATGTGCTTCAACAGGATATAAACCACTAACACTCAATATATTTAGATCACCATATTACCTTTTATTGCTTTGAAAATACTGCATTTGTAATTTATTTCAAGTCAGCAGTTTAGTTTTGGTATGAGTGCACACACCAGACTGTGTGTTCACCCCATAACTATTCATTTATCAAGAGAAAAGGCTGCGGTAGCTTCAGTGTCCAGCAAATAAGATTAAACAGAATGAATCCAGAGGACCCCGGCATCTCTGCCACCACCACTGGACTGCATGACACGCCGCCTGAGCCCAGGGTAAGGAAAGTTTGAACAGAACCTGTGAGGGACCTCAAGACCAGAACTGCATAGTGACTTTTAAAACCTCTTCAGGCAGTTTTTGAGAAGGGCCCAACATTATAATATGGTAGAAAGTACAAAAAGTCGATTTTTGATTTTGAAGAATACTCCTTCTTTAACGCTTTGGTGTAATAAGACAGAGTGGCTCTAAAACTGTCTAAATGTAATAATTCAATAAACATGGTTGGGGAGATTGCACTGCCCTGGGACACTCCAGACCGAAAGGAGGGAGATCGTCCTGTGGTTAGCAATATGGTGCAAAATCTCTCATGGTACTCCAATAAGTTATAATGAAAACTAGAAGAATCCCCAACATGGTAACCTAAAGTAAGAGGCAGGTCTAACAGCAATGCAGTGGTGATGAAACTGTATTATAAGTATTCAGTGCAAAGTAATCGAGCTGCACTTAATATTACTTCACTAGCTAGGACCACGCCAACAACGACATAGTGCAAAGAAGTTTATTGATAATGTATGAAGCGAGGCAGAGATGGCTGGTTGAGACTATGGGTGGGGGCTCCGTCTCAATCTACAATTGGCCCAGCCGGAACGGGACCCCCCCTTGTAGGGGTCTTATGACTGAAAGACAAAATAGGGGATGGGAGGGTGGGGTCGAGTTCGCCGAGACAACCTGGGATGATGGGAAAGGCTGTTACATATAGGCTTCTGGGAAATTAGAGGCGTGGTCGAGGTGAGCTGTGGTTCGCTGGTGAGAGGAGAGGGTGGCTGAGTCGTGGTCCTTCTCCTGAATCTCAGTTAATTGTATTAACTACATATTTTATGATTATATTATATAATATAGACCAGTAGAGTATAAAGGAATAAAGAGTATTTTCAGACTAAGGCCCTAAATGATGAAGGATTAAGTTTCAGAAACAGCAGCATTTGTAAACTTCAGGCCTTTTTTAGGTGACATTTCTAACCCTTTTTTTTTTTTTTTTTTACATTATTTTCTTTTAGAATGTTGCCCCCTTCCAGTCACAAGATGGCCGCCGCAGTATCCATGGTAACAGTATCCAGAATCCCTTCAGTGTTGTGTACAGCTCAGTGGTTGCGGCCTTGTTCTGCTGTCTCCAGTTAAACCACTTTCTCTGCGATCGTTCACAATGAATCAGCCGAACCAGACTCGCCTCGACCCCGACTCTGTCTCTCTCTGTCCCACAGGCCCAGTCTCGCGTGGACTCCGTGTCCTCTCCGTGTGTGTCCCTGTGCAGTGTGTATGTAGTGTGTGTGTAGTGTGTGTGTGCGGTCCGCTGGGAGCAGGCTTGTGCGCTCAGAGCGTCCTTAGCCTCTAAACTCACCTGTTGTCCACGTCGTTCGGCTCCCACAGCTCCGGCTCCTCCTTCAGCTTCACTTGTGCCATGTTTCAGTGCGCTCTGTCCGCTTCAGGGCTCCAGTAAAGCGCACATAGACGCACTAAAAGCGCACGGAGCTAACGCCGCCGAGCACAGCAGCCAAACTCTGCTGCCCTCTGCACATCCGGTCACATATTACCACCATTTAATGAAAAGACTTCTTATTAAATTCATGTTTCTACTAAGCCACAATTCGGACAAAACTAATGTTTTCACCCCTTACACCCTTCAAAACCACAGCACCATATTCCCGAAAAAATCCAAACTGTCTTATATTTTCATTCCCAAGAGAATTTGAATTATAACCCAAAGTCACACAGCGGCTCTGGCAAACTGAAGTGTCTGATATAAAGTATATAACATAAATTAAACGTTTAGTGTAAAACTTAAAACATCATGTTTTGGCCAAAAAGACACGTGGGGGACATGGCGCAGGATCAGCGCGCCCTCTTGTGCTCCATCCGTGTAAGCTGCTTTGGAAATGGCCACTGTTTGCTCTGATCATTAGATTTATATATTTAACACTTAGATGCATAAGTGGGGTTGTTATTCTTCAACATCTTTGAAATTAAAAGTATTTATATTTTCATATTACAGGTATTCGTCATAAAACATGTTTGTGACATGAGGTCATTGCATTTTTTTTTTCTCCATAATTTTTAAGAAATTGCAGTTTTTGTATCACTACCTCACTCTTCAATAAGTGGGGTGAAAATGACCCCAGACATTTTCTATGGAATCTCAAGGGTTAGACTTATGAACTTCTTATCAATTGTGACTGTCAGCAAACATTTCCTGTTGCACTTACACATCTGATGGCAGCAGTCTCACCACCCAGAGCTCATTTTTACACACAAACAAACATGTTTGTATTATCTTCATTTATCAACTTCATTTCCACATTCATGACTTTTCTGTAACAGAGTATTACTATCATTGTCCTCAAATTAACCTACTTTGTTGTTAGCTTACTACAAAGTAATTTTAGTATGGTAATGTATTTTTTGTGTAGAGACTCTATACTATATTTACTATATTTATAATTTAATTGTAATAAAAGCTAAACCGTTAGGTAGCAATTTTTTATAGTTATTGATCATTCAGTGGTGTGTGTGTGTGAGTGTGTGTGTGTATTTGCATGTGTGCACACGTGTGCATGCATTTACGTGCATATAAATGCACAGACATTTCCATAGCTCCATACTGATTATAGTTCTGTGTGCCATTCAGACATTGTCCTTTTTATATTTCATATCTAGAGTAACATGGCTGCTTGGAGGCCAACTAGAATTTGTGAGGAAGAGAAGAGAGAAGATGTTTGTGTGTGTACATGTGCGTGGACGGTGTTATGGTCCGCGGACCTATTGTATGTTCACACTGTTCATCCTCCATAAACAAACAGACAGACTGTACCTATCATCCCGGCCTGTCAAAGCCTGATCCCGTCACATGTGAGGAGCTCAGAGGTCGGGTCTGGTCAGGACTTGGATGGGAGACCTGGGAAAATCAGGAGCCACAGTGGGGCACAGTTGTGTCCTTAGGCAAGACACTTCACCCACATTATATATATAATAATTATTATAATAATATAATATTATTAATAATATAATATTGTTATAATATTATATAGTATAAAAGTGGTGTGTGTGAGTGATGGTGGTGCTCGAAGGCGCCAATGGCACAGATTGGCAGCCTCACTTCTGTGAGTCTGCCCCAGGGCAGCTGTGGCTAGAATAGTAGCTTACCACCCCTGAGTGTTGTGTGAGTGAATAATGTTCTGTAAGGCGTCTTTGAGTGTCAGAAGCGTGACATGGATTGTTTTGTGATAAACTGTGAACAAAAAGTGATAAATGAACATGTCAAAAATAAAATCACTTTTCTGTTGATAAAAATATAATAAAAATCTTAAACCAGAATTAGTTTATTGCAAAAACGAATTGATTCTAATTGGGGTCATTTTGACCCCACCCACAGTAGAGTGTAGGTACTGGTAGGTCAAGCATCCAAGGGTTAATCTGGACATTGCAATCACGCTGAATAAACCAGGTGAACTGCTTTAAGAGATATAACAAGAAATGCTTATTTTCAACACCTGTCCATCTAAAATGAGCTTAAGGCGCTTAAAGGTTCTGTTACACAAAATACTCAGGATTTGTGTGTTAAACGTATGTAAATGAAAGGGGAGAGCTGTAACACATGATACTGCTGTATAAACTGTTGTTAATGTTAAAAGGCCCATATTGTCGTGCAGTCGTGTGTCAGGAGGGTGAAGAGCGAAGGACTGAACAAACTCTTGGGGAGCCCCTGTGATCAGAGTGATGGAGCTTGAGGTATTCTTGCCAACATGTTCTGCTTGTGGTCTCTGGCTGAGGAAGTCGAGCAGCCAGTTGCAGAGGGACGTGCTGGGACCAGATTGTAAAGTTTGCAGATGAGGGGTTGTTGTCTTATGGTGTTACATGCTGAACTGAAGTCTATGAACAGAATTCTCACAGATAAGTCCTTATAGTCCAGATGGGTCAGTGCAGCTCTGTGCATCTCTGCTGTCAGGAGGAGGTAGGAGGTTATCTTGTTTGTGTACTTGCATTAGTTGTAGTAATTGTATTAGTTGTAGTAGTCGTATTAGTTGTATTAGTTGTAGTAGTCGTATTAGTTGTAGTAGTTGTAGTAGTTGTAGTATTGTATTAGTTGTAGTAATTGTAGTAGTTGTAGTATTGTATTATTTGTATTAGTTGTATTAGTTGTAGTAATTGTAGTAGTTGTATTAGTTGTAGTTGTAGTAGTAGTTGTAGTAGTTGTATTAATTGTAGTTGTAGTAGTAGTTGTAGTAGCTGTATTAGTTGTATTAGTTGTAGTAGTTGTAGTAGTTGTGTTAATTGTAGTAGTTGTAGTAGTTGTAGTAGTTGTATTAGTTGTAGTAGTTGTGTTAATTGTAGTAGTTGTAGTAGTTGTAGTAGTTGTGTATTTGTATTAGTTATATTAGTTGTATTAGTTGTAGTAAATGTAGTAGTTGTAGTATTGTACTAGTTGTAGTAGTTGTATTAGTTGTAGTAATTGTATTAGTTGTAGGAGTTGTAGTAGTAGTATTAGTTGTAGTAGTCGTATTAGTTGTATTAGTTGAAGTAATTGTAGTAGTTGTAGTATTGTATTAGTTGTAGTAGCTGTATTAGTTGTAGTAGTTGTATTAGTTGTATTAGTTGTAGTAGTCGTATTAGTTATAGTAGTTGTATTAGTTGTAGTAGTCGTATTAGTTGTAGTAGTTGTATTAGTTGTATTAGTTGTAGTATTGTAGTAGTTGTATTAGTTGTATTAGTCGTAGTAGTTGTAATAGTTGTTATAGGTTTAGTAATTGTTGGTAGTTGTAGTATTGTATTAGTTCTATTAGTTGTAGTAGTTGTATTAGTTGTAGTAGTTGTAGTAATTGTACTAGTTGTAATAGTTGTATTAGTTGTAGTAATTGTAGTAGTTGTAGTATTGTATTAGTTGTATTAGTTGTAATAGTTGTAGTAGTAGTATTAGTTGTAGTAGTTGTAGTATTGTATTAGTTGTATTAGTTGTATTAGTTGTAGTATTGTATTAGTTGTATTAGTTGTAGTTTTGTATTAGTTGTATTAGTTGTATTGTAGTAGTTGTATTAGTTGTAGTAATTGTATTAGTTGTATTGTAGTAGTTGTATTAGTTGTAGTATTGTATTAGTTGTAGTAGTTGTTGTATTATTTGTAGTAATTGTAGTAGTTGTATTAGTTGTAGTAGTTGTATTAGTTGTAGTAATTGTAGTAGTTGTAGTATTTGTATTAGTTGTATTAGTTGTAGTAGTAGTATTAGTTGTAGTAGTTGTAGTATTGTATTAGTTGTAGTAGTTGTTGTATTATTTGTAGTAATTGTAGTAGTTGTAGTAGTTGTAGTAGTTGTATTGTAGTAGTTGTATTAGTTGTATTAGTTGTAGTAGTTGTAGTATTGTATTAGTTGTAGTAGTTGTTGTATTATTTGTATTATTTGTATTATTTGTAGTAATTGTAGTAGTTGTAGTAGTTGTATTAGTTGTTAATTGTAGTAGCTGTAGTAGTTGAAATAGTTGTAGCAGTTGTATTAATTGTAGTTGTAGTAGTAGTTGTAGCAGTTGTATTAATTGTAGTTGTAGTAGTAGTTGTATTAGTTGTAGTAATTGTAGTAGTTGTAGTATTGTATTAGTTGTAGTAATTGTTTTAGTTGCAGTAGTTGTATTAGTTGTAGTAGTCGTATTAGTTGTATTAGTTGTAGTAATTGTAGTAGTTGTAGTATTGTATTAGTTTTAGTAGTTGTATTAGTTGTAGTAATTGTAGTAGTTGTAGTATTTGTAGTATTGTATTAGTTGTAGTAATTGTTTTAGTTGCAGTAGTTGTATTAGTTGTAGTAGTCGTATTAGTTGTAGTAATTGTAGTAGTTGTAGTATTGTATTAGTTTTAGTAGTTGTATTAGTTGTAGTAATTGTAGTAGTTGTAGTATTTGTAGTATTGTATTAGTTGTAGTAATTGTTTTAGTTGCAGTAGTTGTATTAGTTGTAGTAGTCGTATTAGTTGTAGTAATTGTAGTAGTTGTAGTATTGTATTAGTTTTAGTAGTTGCATTAGTTGTAGTAATTGTAGTAGTTGTAGTATTTGTAGTATTGTATTAGTTGTAGTAATTGTTTTAGTTGCAGTAGTTGTATTAGTTGTAGTAGTCGTATTAGTTGTATTAGTTGTAGTAATTGTAGTAGTTGTAGTATTGTATTAGTTGTAGTAGTCGTATTAGTTGTAGTAATTGTAGTAGTTGTAGTATTGTATTAGTTGTAGTAGTCGTATTAGTTGTAGTAGTCGTATTAGTTGTAGTAGTAGTACTTGTAGTAGTTGTATTAATATTTTCCTTTTTTGCTTTAGAATATTTTTGCTGAACCTTGTGATTTTTGGACTTGAGTAAATCCCAGGAGTCTCTGTAACAGTTTGTCTCAGTGTCTTGGCTCTTTTGTCTCGTGTTGAAATGTGTGACTTTGAACTAGTGTTTGTTTAATTTTCAATCATCTGTCTTCATTCCAGTGTGTTAGATCCATGTGTTTTTATTGAAAGTGCATTATGATGTGTGAAAACGCTTCACTCTCAGCTCTCTACACGATCAACCGTGTCTTTCTCTTCAGCGTGTGGACGAGCTCACCGCCGTCCTCTGCTCATGACTGGAGTCCAGCAGAGGAAATCTCACCGCACGTCCAAATGATTACAACATCCAATCATGTTCAAGTCCCCACATGTGCTCCATATGATTATAACATGAACAGAACTGACTCTACATGATTCAACATTTTGGTACGGCAAAAGAAGGCGGAATTCTGTCAACAAGACTTTTTCTGTTAAGGTTAAGGAACACTTTTTTGTCCTCTGTATTTGAGCCGTCCTTCAGTGTCTCTGGGTTAGTCTTGGTCAGGACTGCCTTAGCTGGAGGATTTAACCTGTATGTTTTGGGTTGAGTTCCCCCAGGAAAAATACAGACACACGGAGAACATCTGACAAAACATCCTCTTTTTTTTTCTGGCCGACCAAGGGAGAGATAAATGTGTTTATTATGAATGATTCATTTGCCTGTGGGTTCAGTGTTCAGTTGGATTTAAAATGCATTGGCCATCCGGGCTTGTCAACAGCCTGATCTCATCAGTAGGGCCAGGCTTGGGTAGTACTTGGATGGGAGACCGCTAGGAATTCCAGGTTCCACAGTGGAGCGCCAGTCACAGAAACTATCATTGTGTCCTTAGGCAAGTCACTTCACCCACATTGCCTAGTGTGTGTGTGTGTGTGTGTGTGTGTGTGAGTGTGTGTTGGTGGTTGGAGGGGTCGGTGGTGCAGATTGACAGCCTCACTTACATCAGCACATCACCGAGTGTGGAGTGAATGAATAATGAACTGTAAAGAGCTTTGGGTGTCTTGAAAGGTGCTATATAAAATGCAATGACTGATTAAGTTTTGACCCACCCTTCAGTGTCTCAGGGTTAAACCTGCATTTGACCCACCTTTCAACAATTTTATCTGCACTGCACTGGCTCCCTCTTGAGTTCTGTAAATGTTGATTTTAATATCATGTCTTTACTTACAAAGCTTTAAATGGAGAGGGCCCTGGTACATCAGTGACTTACAGCACCCCTCCTCCTCAGGTCAGGGCCTCCTGATGGTCCCAAAGACCCGCTTTAAAACAGGGACCAGTCCTTTCAGGCTGTGGCCCCTAAATTATGGAATGCCCTGGCCCTCTGTGAGGCAGCCGCTACTGACCCTTTTAAAAAGCAGCTCAACACGCTGCCATTTAAACAAGCGTTTAGTTGACTGTCTGTAATTCCTGTTTTTGTACATGTTGTTTATTGCACTCTGTAAAGCACTTGATTGTGATTTTATCTGTGAAAGGTGCTCTATAAAAATGTTTCAACCACAAGATCTGAAAAAAAAAACTGTAGGACACAGTGTGTATTTGAATAATCTGAACAGAGCAACATTGGCCTGTTCATTCAGAATTCATACAAGTTATATTCTGTCACATTTTCACATCATTACAGTCATCATAGTTTTAGAAAGTTAGAAGCAGTTATTTTTGTCCTTGTCCGTCTCTGTGCAACTTCAAAATGCAAGGACCAAAATCCAAACCACAGATTTGTTTAACCCTCTGCATTTGACCCATCATTTAGTTTCTCTGGGTTAGACCTGTTGAGAGTAGAGTGCAGGTGTGAGCAGAGGTGGGCAGTACTTAGTTACATTTACTCTTTTGGAAGGAAATGGTAGTTTTCCAGACCCCATACTTTTACTCTCATTGAACATTGTACAGTGTCAAGTGACAAAAAGTTAGTTGACAATATGAAACGACCTGAACACTTGTGTTTTAAATATGATTTACTTCTGACTACAATAGGTCAAATTTTAATATTTGACTCAATATTTAACTAATAAATCAGATTTTAAATACATTTTACAGCCAAACTCTCAGTCCTCACATTCCTCAAATTCATTTTTTATTCTTACTTGAATAATTATTTAGGCCACTTCTGCTTCAGTAATAATATTTGATATAAGAATTGTGTAATGACGTTCCTCTTACTTAAATCCACATTTCTGACTTCCAAACTCTAGATGTCAGCACTAGTCAGAAGAATGGCCTCTGGTGCATGTTTTATGTAGAAGAGGAACAGACTCCAAAGGAACACCCCCAGACCCAGGGAGAACATGCAAACTCCAGGCCATAGTGCTCCCACTCAGTCCTGGAGCAGCCTAACATTAACCTAAGGTCAATAGTAACATGGCCTATTCACTAGGGCTGCTCTGAAGAACCCTCTCCGGACAGGACAGCGCCTCTGTGTGGACAATCATGTGACTTTTCACTTGACATTTCCGTAAAAACTTTTTCTCACAGACGGGACAGCTGAAAGGTTTGTCGCCCACATGAATCAGCATGTGTGAGTTCAGATGAGTCTGTCGTGAAAAGGATTTCTCACAAAAGGGACAGCTGAAAGGTTTGAGTCCAGAGTGTGTGGAGATGTGTGACTTTAGGTGGTCCTGCCGCGAAAACGCTTTGCTGCAAACTGGACAGCTGAAAGGTTTCTCTTTGTTGTGAATGGGTAAATGTCGGTGTAGAAGCGTGTTGTCGGCAAATTCCTGCCCACATTCTGAACAGCTGAAAGGTCCCTGTCCTGCATGGCTGATCATGTGCACCTTCAGATGATTAGAGCGTGAGAAACATTTGTTACAGACTGGACAGTTGAAAGGTCTCTCCCCGGTGTGCACCCTGGTGTGAGACTTCAGCGTGCTTCGGTCTGTGAAGGTCTTCTCACAGAGTGAACAGCTGAAGGGTCTCTCGCCTGTGTGGATCCTCATGTGTGTTTTCAGGTTGGTTTCTTGGGTAAATGTTTTAGCACAGAGGGAACAGCTGAATGGTTTCTCTCCTGTGTGCGTTAGTAAGTGGCGCCTCACGGTGGCCATATACTGAAAGGCCTTCCCGCACTCGGGGCATTTGTGCGGTCGCGCCTGCCCTCTTTTCTTCACAACAGGTGCAGACAGGTGCTGCTCCGACTCCAGCAGCTCAGGTACAGTTGGACTTGAACCAAATGAAGAGTTAAAATACTCGTCCTCCAGAGACTGGTCTAGGTCTAGGTCTGTCTCGAAGTCTGGTCTCAGGTCTGGTCTTTTCTTCTCTCCCTCTTCATCTCTCTCCTCCTCCTCCTCTTCTCTTTTGATGATGACACATATGACTGGGCTTTCTAGCGCCCTCTCTTGGTGAATCCCCTGCTCCACAGGTTCCTCTTTAATGTGCAACAAACTAGGGTCAGGCTCAGCGGTCTGAACACCTGCAAGACACAGACAAAAGAAACATGAACTGTCAGGGAGCATTCACATGCAGATTTTTCCTGATGAAGACTTGGTTTTTCCTCTTTTGTTGTCCTGGTTTAGTCCTGATTAATGCTACATTTTTATGATCTCGAAAAGTGAGAAGATCCGTCCTGTGAAAAAAATGTTGGAATTTCAACTCAGAAAGTTTTGGACTCTGAGTTTCCGTCACAGTGACAGGAGTCGGTTTAGAAGAGGACAGCATGGTGATGTCTACAAGAAACAACAAACCAATCACACAATTCACTGTCAACAACTACAGGGGCTGTGCACAGCTTTTCAGAGACTCAGCAAAGAGAATCCAGTTGTGCAAATATTACTGTGGTGGCTGCTCTCATGAACACCCAGATCCGTCATATAATGCGTAATGCATCCGTCCTGGTTTAGTCCATTGAAACAGCAGTGCTCCTAAAATATAGCTTGTTCTATCTGTTTCTGTGGAATCATTTTGGGATGCGTTTAGTGTGTAAAACATCCCTCCAGCTTTTCTAGTGGAGAATTGAGCACCTGCTTGTTTCCATGAAGAGAATATTGCTTTGCCTGGGAAGTTCCACAGACAGGCACCCTGGAGAGAGGACAGTTTTATGCCCTTCTTCAGAATGTTCGAGGCAAAGTCAGAACATCTCCATCGAGAGGAGCAGATGTTCATGTCATGCTGTGGGACATAAGCAATGCAGTGTCTCCATGGAGACAAGCAGGTGATGAACTCCAGAAATGTTACATAGTGCAGCTTTAAGCTGCATTGGCTCATTACCTCTAAACTCCGGGTTTCTGAAGGTCAGATCCATCCCTCTGTAACAAACACAAACATATGAATAACATGCAAATAGAAAACTCTCATATAGGACATTGTTTCTTCTGCTACAGTTACAATAACAGTCACAGCTGCCCTGGGGCAGACTGACACATGTGGCTGTTGCTCTGCCCCTTCAGCCCCTCTCACCATCACACCATGTGACCACAGCTCTGTACGTGTCATTCAGGAAACCATCATCCAGGCTTATACACGCGTCATGTGCCCAGACTGAGGCTCCGGTGCAGAGCTCAGAGCAGCTCAGTTCCTCTTGGAGCTGCAGGAGGAACACCAGGAGAGTTCCTCTTTAAACTACAGCGTCCCAACCAGCGGCACCAGGTACAGGCACCAAGCGACAGACGGGATTTATTTTCAACTAGGAAAATCCAATTACAAATAACACACAAAACACCACATACACGACAACAGCTCAGGAGCTCTGGTGGTCTGCTCCTTAACCCAGAGGCACTGATGGATGGGCTAAATGCAGAGGACACAGCTCTCTGCAGGGACGGTAAATATGGCAATGTTTCCTGTCTGATGTGAACCAGGAAATGAACATTTTGTTGAATTAAAACTGACCAGACCTTGGTAAACAGATTCTTTTTGACATAACACAGTAATAATAATGATGTGCTTTACACGTTTGTGGAAACTCCTCAAAGTGCTACATTCTTCATTCACTCCACACTCTATGGTGGTAACATACTGCTGTAGCCACAGCTGCCCTAGCTACTACCATCAGCCCCTCCAATCACCACTGTAGAAGTTTTCAGCTTGTCCAAAGGCTGGAGACCAACTGGACGTCTTAAGCAGGAGAAGTTTATTTACCATCAATAATACAGGCCTGGGGGACTTGAAAAGTCAACATAGTATGATTTCAAAAGTGAACATCTCTGAATTTTCAAGCCCCTTTCCTAAGCTTCTAAAGGACGAGGTTTATAAAGAAAGTGTGGTGAGACTATGAGGCCAGTAGACACCAGCCAGACAGAAATATGCCACAGTTTAGACAATGGTATGCCAAGAGAAGATCATGGTGCTGTAGCTCCTGTGTTGAGAGATGTACGAGGAGGATAAATTATTTAAATTCTCGTACAACCATCACAACGCACACACACACATACCACATTCATTCTAGACAATGCGCGTATTGCCTAAGGACATAACGACAGAACATGCTCAGGACGGGAATCAACCGACCTGCAGGTTGGGGAGACAACTGTTCTAACAACTGAGGCACTGTCAGCTCTGGTTTAGTCCTCGTTAAACCTGGTTTAGACCTGGTTTAGACCTGGTTCAATCCTGATTCAGACATGGTTCAGACCTGACTCAGTCCTGGATTAGACCTGGATTAGACCTGGTTTAGACCTGGTTTAGACCTGACTCAGTCCTGATTTAAGGTAGACCAGTCTGATGTGAACCAGTTAAAGGCCGCAGTCTACCCTGAGTCAACCCGCAATCTGCCCGGTCCCCAGCAGCCCCCGTGCAGACACAGACCCACCAGACACCCGCCACATGACACTCACTTCGGGGAAGATATATGACAATGTTAAACGTCCCGGATGAGACCGAGGTCACGGTGGTCACGGTGGTCACGGTGGTCACGGTGGTCACGGTGGTCACGGTGGTCACGGTGGTCACGGTGGTCACGGGGCCGGTTCCGTGCTCGTTCCCCCGGCTGACAAAGCGCAGACATCAGGACAATGGCGCAGCGTCCCGTAGCACCTTTAAACTCACCTGTTGTTCACGTCGTTCGGCTCCCACAGCTCTGGCTCTTCCTTCAGCTTCACTTGTGCCATGTTTCAGTGCGCTCTGTCCGCTTTAAGGCTCCGGTAAAGCGCGCACACACGCGCGTACACACACACTACAGACGCACAGAGCTAACACCGCAGCACAGCCTCCGCTCCTCCGCGCCTCTCTCCGCTGCCCTCTACAGATCCGGTGTAATACTTGCACCAGGCCTACTTCAGCTCAGCTTCATCTTCTGCTCCTCTGACGCTCTCTTCTTTCCTCTGCCCCTCTCCTCTCTTCTCTGCTCTCACCATTGACTGTATAAAAGAAGTTATATACGGTCTATGGCTCTCACACTAACTTTGTCTTAAGTTCTTGCTTCATTATTCTCTACATTTGCTGCCTTTTGGTGTTCACGTCTCTGCTCTTGCATGTTTATTTGACACTACATCAAATTCAAACAAATACATAAAATAAAAAATACAAATCTTTTGTTTATTCCTCATTTGTTTAATTAAAATAAACAATTGAACAAACCTTGGCAAACAGACTCTCTTTTACATAACACAGACATTCTAACAAGATGCAAACAGCAGTATGCTGTATTCTTTTATCCATTTTTACTTTAGTCCTGGGTTAGTCCTGGGTTAGTCCTGGGTTAGTCCTGGGTTAGTCCTGGGTTAGGGTCGGGTCCTGGTTCAGACCTGCTTTAAGCTCCCAGTGTCACGATGAGGAGAAAATTCAGTTTGTCGACTAGACAAAAGTTAGTTTGGTTGAAGAGGTTTCGCAGCTCATCCAAGCTGCTTCTTCAGTTCTTCAGCTTGGATGAGCTGCGAAACGTCTTCAACCAAACTAACTTTTGTCCAGTCGACAAACTGAATTTTCTCCTCACCATGGATTCTACCTGGACGACTGAGGGATTCTTCACACCTCCCAGTGTCACTTTACTGTTTCTTTTGATTCTGTACTGACTGTGACATGGGTGTAATGAACTGCACTGTATTTTTGTCTGTTTTAATTCTGTTTCTGTGTATTGTTGTGATGTTTATGCACCTGCTCTTCACTTCCAAGACACATTTCTCCTGGTGGGGCAATAAAGTTTATCTGCTCTTGTTTAGACCTGGTTTAGACCTGGTTGAGTCCTGGTTTAGTCTGGGTTTAGATCTGGTCCAGTCCTTGCTGAGACCCAGTTCAGACCTGGTTTAGACCTGGTTTAGTCCTTGTTTAGTCCGGTTCCTCAGTGGGGGGTCTCTGTTGAAGTCCTGGTCACTGAGCTCAGACTCTGACATCATGAGGCTGGAGTTGTGCTCCGTACTGCGGTGCTTCAGACCTGCACAGAGGGAGGGTATCTGAGGCAATCTGACACACGGGGAGGGCATCTGACACAGAGGGAAAGCATCTGACACACGGGGAGGGCATCTGACACAGAGGGAAAGCATCTGACACACGGGGAGGGCATCTGACACATGGGGAAAACATCTGACACAGGAGTTGAGGTGTTCAGACTCACTGAATTTGGGCCTCAGCTCGACTCTCTCCTGCTCGTCCACGTTGTCCAGGATCGTGTATCGGGTCTTCCTCCGGACTCTGGACGGTCTTTTTCTGGAACACAAGATTAGAATCAGGATTAAAACAGGATCAAACCAGGACTGAACCAGGACTAGATTAGAACTGAACCAGGATTAAACCAGGATTGAACCAGGACTAAACCATGACTGGAGCAGGACTCACCTCCGGCAGCAGCACATGAAGGTCCAAGCTGCACTGAGGATGAGGAGGACCAGGATGAAGCCGCTCAGGATCACGTACAGAACTCTCCACTCTGGAAAACAAACAGGTTTCCCTTCAGTGGGTTTCAGAGGACAGATCCTCCGGAGCAGCTCGTACTTGGATCGACTGGCCTGTGCAGGTGGTTGCCATGGTAACACAGTGAATACAGACACAGTGGTCTCCCAGAGAAACATGACGCTCACATGAACTTTGAACTCAGCATAAATGTGGCTGTGGCAGAATCATCATAAGAAGACCCCCCCCATCCCCAAGCCAGAACCTGACCTTTGACCTCTGACTTGACCATAGAGCACAATGCATTTTTTGTTATTTCTCTCTGCATTTGCGTTCTGGTTCCACATGAGTGGATTTTGTAGGATTCGTCTCTATTTTCACAACATGATTTTTTGAAATCCTCAAAATGCCTAAAACTGTGTGTGATTTAGCCCCGCCCTGCACTCACTCCTTGCTAGCAGCTCTCACTCTGATTGGTCACATGTCACATGGTGGCTGGTGTATTCAGGAAATAATGCAGAAGAAAACATATTTTTTCACAAGAGTTTGGCTGCAGATGTACGGGTGAGTGGGGTTCCACTCTAGATCGGAAACATGTGCCCTCCACTTTTAGAAAAGAGGAACACGTCACCTCCACTTTTCTGCAGACCTGTGGAGCGAGTGCAGCTCCACTCTAGACCAGAAAGTATTGATTAAATAAGATTGTGAACAAGAACAACCGAAAAACCAAAAGCCGAAAGCCGAAAGGTGAAGCTCTCGATTTACCAGTCAGTCTTCATTCGTCCCCTCACCTCTGGTCATGAGCTCTGGGTAATGACCGAAAGGACGAGAATGCAGATACAAGTGGTCAAAATGAGTTTCCTCTGAAGGGTGGCTGGGCGCTCCCTTAGAGATAGGGTGAGGAGCTCCTCATTTATAGGAGGAGCTCGAAGTAGAGCCGCTGCTCCTCCATGTCAAGAGGAGCCAGTTGAGGTGGCTCGGGCATCTGTTCCGGATGCCTCCTGGGCGCCTCCCTCGGGAGGTGTTCCGAGTCCAGCTCCAGGTTTATGTTTCAGTCTAAACACTGCAAAATTAGGGCCCTTTGTTCTCACCACAGTTGCTCTCCCCGTCCCCGAGGTAGGTCCGGAGCAGGTTCTCGGTCCAGAAGGGGTCACAGAGACACAGCCTGGAGACCGGGTCACACTGCCCCCTGCTGGAGCACTGCAGCTGGCACACTGCAGCACACAACACACCGATACATCAGAACAGGGTTAAAGCCCCACTGTGGGACATTACTATGATTATGTTTGGTCCTCACCCACAGTGTCCACGCGCAGCACCCTGAACAGCAAGTAGTCCGTCCTCTCGTTCAGAAGATGAGATCTCAATAGAGAGACCACTGCCAGACCAGAGACCGGACCAGAGACTGGACCAGAGACCGGACCAGAGACCGGACCAGAGACTGGACCAGAGACTGGACCAGAGACCGGACCAGAGACCGGACCAGAGACTGGACCAGGAGGAGACTGCACTGAGAACCGCAGCACTGTACTGGACCACAGAGACGGGGGTTAGACCAGAGGAAGGGACACACAGGGTTACAGGAGGAAGGGAGGGCATCTGACACACAGGGAGTACCTGAGCCGCGCGTGTCCATAGAGTCGTCTCAGTTGGATGTCGGAGGTGGAGACGTGGAGCAGAGCAGCGATCTGACTGACCAATGTGTCCCTTTGTGAGACGCTCACCTGAGACACACAGGACCGGGTCAGGAACAGGTCAGAATCCGTGTCAGGACCTGGTCAGGACCGGGTCCGAATCTGGGTCAGGACCAGGTTAGGACCGGGTCAGAACCACAAACTGAGGGAGGACTGAGGGAGTGTGATGTCACCCATCATTCAGTTCCAGCCAATCTGGAACCAAACTCCATATTTGGAATTCCGACTGCGAATATCATAGCAACCAAAGAGCCAATCCAGAGGGACGGTGCTGAAAGAACATGCCTGACTGGTCTATTATTAATGTTCATATCTTGATTTAGGGACAAAATAGTGAAATAAAAACCCCAGAATAAAATACATCAGGATCAAACAAACATTTTAAGACCAAAATGACGAGCTTGACAGAAGACGTTTTTTGGAGCCAGAGTCGACAGAGCTGAATCGGTGCGATTCATGCTCACGTCCTGTTTGGAACACGGCAGTTAGAGGGTCAGATGTGTCCAGAGAAATGTAGTTTATGGTCAGGACCCTGGTCAGAACCTTCTCCAGATCTGAGCCTGGTCCTGGTCAGAAGTACCCCACTGCAGACAGGCTCACCTGAGAGACGGACACCTGCAGCTCCAGCTCCACCTCGTCTCCTCCGCCCGGCTCTACAGCAACACACAGGGACAAAACTTTTACTGTGACTCTACGGCAACACACAGGGACAAAACTTTTACTGTGACTCTACGGCAACACACAGGGACAAAACTTTTACTGTGACTCTACGGCAACACACAGGGACAAAACTTTTACTGTGACTCTACGGCAACACACAGGGACAAAACTTTTACTGTGACTCTACGGCAACACACAGGGACAAAACTTTTACTTTGACCTACTTCAGACTTTCTACATGTAGTTTTAAAAGATTAAAGTGGTCAAATTGAGTACACTATGTGAAAGAGAAAGAATGTAAAAATGCACCAAGTAACTTATAGGGAACAAGGTTCACCACCTGCTTGTCTCTACATGGAATGTTCCACAGTATGGCATTAAACCTGATATAGCATTTATTCCAACATCAGAGTTTTTACTGCTCAAAAACATGCATTCTGGAAAACTTGCATTCTTACTGTATGTGGGCGTGTCTCTTCACAGACCTGACGTATAACGTGGTCTGGTGGCATCAGTGTTTAATGTCACTTACACTTGGATGCAGCTGATGTCATCAACATTCCCTGGGGGTGTGGTGCTAACTTTAAACACTGCTCTGTCTAAAATTCTGTTATTCAAATTAGACTTTTATTTAACCTGAGCTTTGGTTTAACATGATCTGACCATAAAATGGGACTTATCTGGAATTACAACAGGTGAGCTGATTTGTGCTGTTAAATATGTCTCTCTAGCATCAGACAAGTTTTTCAGTGAGTTTTCCAGTTTTCCATGAGGGTCTCTGTGGTAACTACTGCACATTCCGCCGTAGACATACATGCAGAACTACGGAGATGTTAGTGTCAGTATTATCAAGTAAATATCACGCCATTCAGAAATACATTTCTTGGTCCAGAAACAAATATAATGACATTCACAAATATAATTCATAACTTACAAATAAATGTAACAACATTCACAAAAGCATTTCTTGACAAATGTAAGGGCAGTTACATTTATTTGCAAACTGAGGAACCTGCATTTACACAATGCTGTACATATTTGGGACTACCCCTGCATTTATTTGTGGATTTTTGAGACCATGTTGTTCATCTCCTCATAATTGAACTTGTTTAACAAGTTAAATTAGGAGGGGATAAACAAGTTACACTTGCAGCTGGAACCTAGGGACCAAACTTCTACTATGAGTAATAGTACCGCAGTATTATCAACCATAAACCATAAACCATACGCTCCAACTCCAAGTCAGGTTCAGAGGTGTGAAAACACCCATTATGGGCCTGAATGATTTTGCTAATTAGATCCCACTCCCTGTACAGGTCAACAGGCCGAGCTAACAAACAGAAAGTGTAAACAAGTGTGTGTGTTAGTTTCAGAGTAGTTTCAGTGTAGTTAGCTCCTCCTGCAGACAGATATAAGGAAGTGTCACCAGCGTCTGAACACAACTGAACAAACAGCTTGGATGAGCAGCAAAAAGTATTCGACCAAAATAAACTTTTGTCCAGCTGACAAATTGAACTTCTCCTTTTGCCGTAGATCCTACTTGGACGACTGAGGGATTGAACACCCTTCAGCTGATGTGATTGGTTGTTTAAAAAAAACAACACACAAACACACATTTGTGATCCACAAATAAATGCAGGGGGCATCACAAATCTGTACGAACGTTTGTAAATGCAGGTTCATCTGTTTGCAAATAAATGTAACTGCCTTGACATTTGTGAATGGCGCAACATTTTCTTTTGAGTCGAGAAATGCTTTTGTGAATATTGTTATTTGTAAGTCATGAATTATATTTGTGAATGTCGTTATATTTGTTTACGGACCAAGAAATGTATTTGTGAACGGCGTGATATTTATTTGATATATTATATGATCTTATATCAATACTGTGGAATCGAACACTTCAGGCAAATGCATTTCTATGCAGACTCCCCACCAGCAAAGTTACTTAATTTCCCTGCCCAACAGTTACCTAAAGGTCAACAATCTGACGGTGCTTTTCACCACCCACTCCTTTCGGTCTGAGCATTTAACCCGTTCACTCCCAAAGCAAACAGAGAGTCCCTAGTCTTAGTCCATTTTATCAAGTCAAGTCTCAAGTCCTAAAAATAGTGACTCATGTCCAAGTTCAAGTCATGACTTGCAAGTAACCACCTTTGCCTGGCAGCGCCTGGACCCTGACAGGGCAGGTGTTACTTGGCAGGACAGGTGTTACCTGGCAGCACCTGCACCGTGGCGGTGGCAGTGGCTGATCTGCCCCAAGCGTCTGTGACTCGGAGATGGAACAGATAAGAACCCTCCACCAGATTTACCAGAACCAGAGAAGAACTGGACTCAGACCCAAAGAGCACGTCCTACAGAGACAAAAACCAGGACTGAAACAGGACTAAAAAGGAACGAAACCAGGACTAAACTAGAACTAAACCAGGACTAAACCAGGGATAAACCAGGACTAAAAATGAACTAAACCAGGACTAAATCAGTACTAAATCAAGGGTAAAAGAGGACTAAAACAAAACTAAAACAGGACTAAACCAGGACTAGGTCTGCCCCAGAACTGACCCCAGCGGCTGGGCTCTGGGCGTCTCGTGTCCACAGATAGTACACCACTCTGGGGTCGGCGTTCGTCACGGAGCCCTGGAGAAGCAGAGAGTTGTTGGGGAGGATCAGGGTGTAGCTTCCCCCAGCGTGAGCCACCGGAGCTGAGCCAAGGAGGGCTGAGGAGAGGCCGGAGAACCAGGAGCAGAACCAGGACACAGACTCAGAAAGCTGTTTTGCACATTTGGTTTCAGATTCTATTAATGGGTTTAAAACTTATGAAAAATTAGAACTGTTGCCATAACAATTAACAATTTAAAACAAAATATTATATCTTTAGAATGAGAAAAAGTCCTCAAAATGATGTAGATAACAGAAAGCTGAAACTCCTGCAGTTGTTATACAATCCCAGGATGCACCTCCAGAAACCACACTGCACCTCCAGACCTCACACTGCACCTCCAGACCTCACACTGCACCTCCAGACCTCACACTGACACCTCCAGACCTCACACTGACACCTCCAGACCTCACACTGACACCTCCAGACCTCACACTGCACCTCCAGACCTCACACTGACACCTCCAGACCTCACACTGCACCTCCAGACCTCACACTGACACCTCCAGACCTCACACTGCACCTCCAGACCTCACACTGACACCTCCAGACCTCACACTGCACCTCCAGACCTCACACTGCACCTCCAGACCTCACACTGACACCTGAACAAACCAAATTTACAGTGCTCAAGGCTGAGGTAGAATTTGTAGATTTGTGCTGTTAAATGAGTTGGCAGCTCATCAGACTGAACATTAAAGGTGCACTATGCAATATTTTGGTTGGGGGTCCTTCACCTCCTTGTTTCTATAGAGATATCACTGCTCTGCCTGAAATGTTCCACAGTGTGACATTATACAGCTGTACTTTACATTTATTCAATTACAGGTGGTTTTACAGTTTAAAAAAAAATTAAAAATTCTGACTGTGAGCGGAGTCACCTCTCCACAGATCTGGGGCCTCATTTATAAAATACTGCATAGAAGTTGTTGTAAACTAGTGCGTACGCTTAGTAGCCACGAGAGGTGTGCTCCACGTAAACTCCATATTTAGAAAATCCACTGCACGCAATAAACCCCGCAGTCTTTGCTTTATAAATCCCACCTGCAACTAGAATTTGCTCACATAAACCCACGTCACATCATGTCCTCTCCACACCTCCACCTCACCATAAAAGGAGCATGTAACGTGACTGGTGAATGAGATTTCCCTAAACATGAGCCGATAATCAGTGGGTTTGACCGAGACACGCGGGATAGAGGGAGGAGGACGCTCCACGCAGCATCACGTGATCACAGCAAAGACTTAAACAAGGTTTAACAAATTTGATGGATTGCATTTATATAGCGCCTTTCAAGATCCACAAAGCGCTTTACAGTTCATTATTCAGTCACTCCACACTCAGTGGTGGTAAACTACTACTGTAGCCACAGGTGCCCTGGGGCAGACTGA